CCCTAGGAGTCCAGAGACAAGGATTGCCTCCCAGTCTGTGTGTCCCCTCCCCATGCTATGGTGGCACTCCAGAGTGTCGGACTCCTGGGGCAATGACGGATGAGACATCTGCTCCATGATGGGCTATTACCAACAATTCATTACTGCAAAATGGACTTACCCTCATTAGCCCAGGAGCTCCGAGTTTAATGTGGCATTCTGCAATCTCACAGATTCTGCTGCACACATTGAAGGCGTGGAGCACATTTTATAGAGCCAGGAAACCTGAACTTCAGAAGACAATGGAGATTTAGCATGCCTCTTGAATTAGTTGACATATTTACTCTTCGTGAATAAGCCTGTTTTGTAGACAAACACTGTAGCTCACAGCCTCTTTATTAGAAATTAGTTTGCTTCACTGCTCTGCCCAAGGGCACCGTTCTCCTTGGGGAACAGTTTTGCCCTTATCATCCTGGTGCTTGCAGTAGGTGAATAGGTTTCTGAAGTTCTGGCCTGGGAATGTTTCTCCAGGGGCAGTTCTAGGAAAGGGGCCGGGTCTGTGGTCCCCAGATGGCCTTTCATCACCAGTCACCTGTGTGAAATTTGCACATTTTGCATTGGTGCGTTTGGGAAAGATCTCTCTTTTCCTTTGTAATGCATTCCGGCAAAACCGTCCGTCATATATCCACATTTGGAGGGGAGTGAACGATGGGGAACCAGTAATCAGTTCAAATAATGTGCAGCAGACACGATATCAATTTCCTAAACTTTCGATATTCCAGGTACTGCTGTCGATGCGTGAACTCCCTGCCTGGGCTCAGCTTATCCTTGGGAAATTACCCAGTCACACGCCACACTCCCACAAAATGACAGTCCTTCTGTGCTTCTTTTTCTTTAATAGCACACGGATCACTGAGGTCTGTTCTAGATAGAAAATTCTATGTTGCCATCTACTTCCAAATGACCAGTCAGCAACGAGGGGATTCTTTAAAACTCAGGCTCCAAATTCCAGATGTCCTGCCTCAGGGTGGTGGTGATGGTGGGTGAGGAAGATAACATTTTGGGGGTCAAAGCACCATCAGTTACTTTATTTTTTCCCCTTAGGAGTTAAACTTGGCACTCCATTTTTCTTACTCTGGTAGGGCTCACAAATATGCAGTAACCTGTCTCCAGGCTAAAAAGTGCTTATTCATTCAACCCTCCATTCCTTTCACAAATATTTATTGAGTGTTCATTATGCGCAAAGCACTCTGTTAGTTGCTGGGCACTGGGTTCCCAAGAGAGTGTTTAGCTCCAGTGCAGACACAGCCCAATTGGATTTATCAAGAACTTGTTGAATATTTGTAGTGGCTCCGGGGTACAGGAAACCTAGACACTCCCTGAAAGGTGCGCATGCCAGGTACACTGGCCATCTTCTAAAGTCAGGTTAAGATGCGTGCTTTTGTGCATACTTTTCTTTCTTTTCTCATATAAACTGCTTCTTTCCTGCTCAGTGAAGGGGCCTCCCAGCCCACATCTCCAGACCATACTTCCATCAGGATGTCCATCTTAGATTTTTGATGATTTCCCATCTGGATTATATGGAAATAAGGGAGAATGTCTTTACCTTCCAGCAGAAACTTCTTATCCACTGTCTCGCTAGCTTAACCCTCCTTCCTCACCACCAACTTATATTCATGTCTCTATTTCCAACCTTGTCTTTTTTTTTTTCCCCTGTTTTTGAGACAGAGTCTCACTCTGTTGCCTGGGCTAGAGTGCCGTGGCGTCAGCCTAGCTCACAGCAACCTCCAACTCCTGGGCTCAGGCGACCCTCCTACCTCAGCCTCCCGAGTAGCTGGGACTATAGGCATGCGCCACCATGCCTGGCTAATTTTTTCTGTATATATTTTTAGTTGGCCAATTAATTTCTTTCTATTTTTAGTAGAGACGGGGTCTCACTCTTGCTCAGGCTTGAGTGATCTGCCCACCTCGGCCCCCCAGAGTGCTAGGATTCAGGCGAGAGCCGCCACGCCTAGCCCCAACGTTGCCTTGATAGAAAAATCAAGGATCCTGTATGATTTCCACTTAGAAGGAGAGGCTGTATGACTTGGGGCAAGTTTGTATCTGTTCATCGGTTGGCATTTGGGTTGTTTCTACTTTTTGACTGTCATGAGTAAGGCTGCTATGGATGGTCACATAGAAGTTTAGTTTTTCAGTTCTCCTGGGTGTCCCCACCTAGGAGTGGACTTGCTGGGTCCTATGGTGATGCTATGCTTACCATTTGGTGGGACTGCCGGGCTGTTTTCTAAAGCAGCTGCACCGTGTCACACTTCTACCGGCAACCGGTCATTAATTCTCCATCAAGGCAGGGACCAGCCACTCTCTCTGGAAAGAGGGTAAAGGAAAGAAGCTACATTTTCCACCCCTGCCCCTGGTTTTAGGTCATAACTAATATTCATTGCCCCTCCCCCCTCCATTACTCATTCTAGATTTCTCTTACCTTTAGCTGAAAGTTCTAGGGTGCTTGCCTAGTGGGTTGCCTAGTATGCTTTTCAGCTTTAATGTGCATAGGAATCACATAGGGGTCATGTTAAAATGCAGAATCTGATTTAGTGGTGTGGGAGGGGGCTGGGATTCTGCATGTCTAACAGGCTTTCAGGTGGTGTTGATGTTGCTGGTCTATAGGCACATTGGGTAGCAAAGACCTAGACTGAATGTACTGTACCCCTGATTGCTGTGCCCTTGGTGGGCCATGGTTGCTACAATTGCCCCTTTATAGTTTTTGCTGGGTTTCGAGCATTTGGAAAAGCCCGCGCTGAAACCCCTGGGTTCTAGAAGGCACCTTCTCTGCTCCTGTGGTGCAGCAACAACTTTAGCTTCATTCTGGCAATCTGGGCTATTAATCCCATTGGTATGGTAACTCCATCCGTTGTCCAGCAGCAGGAGGAGCGTCATGTGACTCAGTGATCATCGGCCTCACGTTCAGTGGAACCCTTACTAGTAGAAGAGTTCCTCCCTGAAAACCAGGCTTCCTACCTGGCAGGGCCCAGCTTCTAGACAAATTCTATGAGCGAGAGAGAGGGATGTCGAGAGGGACAAGTCTCACATCCATCTACCCCTTGGTTCCCAGAATGCATATCCTTGCTCTTTGGGACACAGCGCCATATATGATGTTGGCTCGGTGCACATACCATATTGCTGATGACAGTGTCCTAGCCCTTCAGGTGCTGTCCCTGAGCTGGTGCCTTTGCTCATTCTTCCATCTCTTCAAGCTGCTGCTTCCGGATGCTGGGGACCAAGGTAAGAACAATGAATCCCATGGGCACGCCTGCATCGTGTGTCTCCTTTGCAGAGGCAGAGGGGCTCTAGGAGCCAGCAGGGTGGCTGGGTGGCGGTTGAGTGTAGCTGTCACTGCGGTGACAACAGAGGGGGACATTAATAAAAGGCCTGAGACAGATGAGGCCCAGAGGATCTGAGAAGATGCATAAGAGGTGTCTGACATGGAGGGCTTGTTATCTGGTTCAGAAAGCAAGATACAAACACAAGGGGGGAGAAACACTGACTGCCATGAGAGTCCGGAGGTGATGGGGTGGAGGGGGTGGCCATAGGCTGGAATATCTGGTGGCCTTTAGAGAACAGGTATGACTGGACCTGGTCTTGAAGGCAGTGGAGACACAAAACTGGTGGAAAGGAAGGGAGAAAGTATTCCAGGTGGCCAAGGTCACTGTCAACAAGGACTCACATGTGGGCGTGCTGGAGGTTTATTCAGGGGCCAGAACACAGACCAGTTTGGAGCTGGTTTGTGGGGAGAAACAATAAAACTCATTTTAGTAGTAATAGGTTATCTTTATTGAGTACTTACTGTATGCCAGGCACCATTCTGAACTCCTACAGATAGTCAATCCTCACAACTACTGCTTGGGGGGCAAGGCCAGGATTTGGGGGCACCTTGAATGACCAACCAAGGAGCTGTCACACTGACATTGGAATCATTGTAGGTCCCATGAAGATAGAACCAATTTCTTGCCAACTTTTGTATTCTACATTCGTTATATAGGGCCTGGAAAGTTTCCATGATTTCACCGAATATTAGCAATAGCTATCCTTAATAATATACTTATTGTATGGCAGGCAATATTTGAATAACTTATTTAATTCTCACACAATCTTATAAGGTAGGCACTATTAGTATTCCCATTTTACAGATGAGGAAGTTGAGGCGCAAGATGTTAAGTGACTTGTCCAAAGTAATAGAACAAGAAAGTGCCAAATCCAGCCTTTGGACCTAGGCAGTCTGGCTTTCATGTCCACACATTAAATTACTATACTACATGGCTTCTCTAAAACTAGTTAGGAGAAAGATTTGGAAATTCTATTGGAAAACTGTGGTGAAAGCTTTTTTTTTTTTCTGAGATAGGGTCTCGTTCTGTCTTCCAGGCTGGAGTGCAGTGGCCTGATCATAGCTCACTGCAGCCTTGAACTCTTGGATTCAAGCGATCCTCCTGCTTCAGCCTCCTGAGCAGCTGGGACTACAGGCATGTGCCACCACAGCTGGCTAATTTTTTTCTATTTTTTGTAGAGATGGAGTCTTGCTGATGTTCAGACTGGTCTCAAACTCTTGACCTCAAACAATCCTCCCACCTTGGCATCCCAAAATGCTAGAATTACAGTCATGAGTCCCTGCACCTGCCCAGTGGTGGAAATGTTAAGGCGAGTGGGAAGTCTGGGGAGCAGCTGTTTTAGGGAGTAAGAGAGGATGTGCTTCATCTCCAGTCTCCCTGTCTGCCTTCTGCAGAGAGAAGGCATAATCTCCAGGCCTCAATTATCGGCAGACACGCAGCTCTGAACATCAGTAGGTGGTTTGTGTGTATATGTTTTCTCTCCCCCTCCTATAGTGTATTTACACTCAAGATTGAGATAAACATCCATTTGCTTTAACACACATGAAAATACCTTAGCAACTTCCTGCAGCTTTGGCCTGTTGCTAAGCAGTGACCCTACTGCTGCCATGGCAACATCAGAGACTCCAGAGTGCTGCCGATACCAGCCTCCTGTTCCTGGCAAGACTTTGGGAAACTGCGTTAGCAGGGCCTCAGGAGCACGTTTACCCTGGGGTGTGGGGGTCAGCCTTGGTCTCTTGCTGTGTGGCCCGATCAGCAGGCCCTGTTTCCGCCTGAGGGAAGCTACCAGGAGAGAGAAGCCCTCTAGTGCCCGGCTGACAAGACCTTAGTCATGTCTGCTGTGCCTTCACTTCTGTTGCTGTCTCCATGTCACTACCGGAGCCCTGTGGAGTGGGGTGGAGTTCAGGACGGATGCTTGAGAAGGTGTATTTCTCAGTTTTATTCCTGGTAATGACCCATTTCAGGTACCTCTGTCCAGCAGAAAGGAACTATGGCACACCTTGAAGTGTGGCCAGGCAAGACAGGAGGGTCCCACAGGCACCCAGTGGGAAACAGAATCTCACTGAGGTTCAAGAGACCTCAGTGCAGGAACTGCTTACAGAGGTGTGGGCAGGACTGAGGGAGCAGGTGAGGGACAGTGATGCACCTGGAAATAATAGGAAGCCTTCACTACCCTGAGCGCTAAAGGGACAAGAAAAGGAAATAGTTTCGTTTGTTTGTTTGTTTGTTTTGAGACAGAGTCTTACTCTGTTGCCCAGGCTAGAGTGCCGTGGAGTCAGCCTAGCTCACAGCAACCTCAAACTCCAGGGCTCAAGCAATCCTTCTGCCTCAGCCTCCCTAGTAGCTGGGACTACAGGCATGCGCCACCATGCCTGCCTGGCTAATTTTTTCTATATTTTTAGTTGTCCAGCTAATTTCTTTCTATTTTGAGTAGAGACAGGGTCTCGCTTTTACTCAGGCTAGTCTCGAACTCCTGAGCTCAAATGATCCAGCTGCCTCAGCCTCCCAGAGTGCTAGGATTGCAGGCGAGGAAATAGTTTCATAGAAACAATCTTCGATTCCTGAAGTTGGAGCCACTCTGTGGAAGTGGTAGACAGGGTAGGATGCAAATATGGCAAGAGATCCACAGCTCTGAGGAGGAAGGAGGAGTGTGAAAAAATACCTGCAACTCCTCTCATCTTTTGATCTCCTGCCAGAGCTGCCTATTAGCCACACTGAACTGGAAACAGACCACAAGGCAGTGCAGGCATTGCAGTCTGTTAGGACATCAGCCTTGGGGACACAGAGCAGAGAAGGGCAAGAATGGATTTGGTGGGGGTGTACACATTATAAATGGTGGGTGGGGGAAGGAAACAGACACTAACTAACATGACTGGGTTAACTCGAATGGGAGGATGCTGGCCGGCAGGGCCAAAAGCTCCAACTAGGTCTACCACTGGGGTAGGGCAAGACCCAGAGAGCAGAGCCCGCGGCAGACACAGGGAGGAGGCATGTTTGACAGGTGGAATAACGAGCAGTCAACATCAGTGAAGCCCAACACATCACTGTCCAAAACGACCCTAAAACAGCACCCTCCCTGACCCGCAGGCAAGGGAGTTTCATAAGAAGTTTCCTGCCTCTGGGTTTGCAGGGCTGAAAGATTTCCCTTCAGGTTCTCCTAACCCTTCCTGTGGCCTCCTCCTCTTGGCATTGCATTGCTTTCACCCTGGTTGCCGTTTCTCAGGCCAGGTGCTATAGATGGACAAGGTTTAGACCAGAGCAGCATCTGTACCACCTGGGAACTTGTTAGACATGTGTTCCTGCAGGCCCCACCTCAGAGCTACTTAATCAGAGAGGTTTGGGGGAAAGCCTGGCAATCTATGTTTTAGCAGGCCCTCCTGGGAATTCAGATACACACTGAAGTTTGATAACTATTCATTTAGACTGTGTGATTAGCTTGCAATGCTCCCTGAAGCCTGGGTGCTGTTCTCCTATCTTCCTTGGCTCCTTGTTCTGTAGCCTTGGGCCAGCTCTGCCCCATTCTCATGTCCTAGCTTGGAGAGCTCCCACCAGGGCCCAGAGCCTTGGGGACCTATATGCCTGATAAGAAAGTTTGGAGAGAAGTAATCTGAGGGATCCTGGTGATGGGCAATTCAGGTGGGCAGCTATAGGTAGGTGGCCCTTAGGGAAGTAGGTTCCAGCTGCAGAATTGGGGTTCAGAGGTAGGACACTAGCTTTGAGAGAATTGACAAGGGCAAGGGCAACCCCAGAGCACTCCCATCCTAAGCTGATGAACAAATCAGAGGCTCCAGCACAGGCGCTGGTGAAGGTAGTTCTCCATGGCTTTCTCTCTCTCATTTCTGCACATCCTGGAGGCAAGACACTGACTTCCCTTTGTTCTGGACTATCTTTTCAAATATATTTTTATAGTGAACAGCCTGGAAGATAGAGGTTGTATCTCTTTCTAGAGAAAAGAGCAGTCATGGTTATTGACCATTATAAAATATTTGAGTTTCCTAAACTCAGGGTTTCTATCCTAAAATATATCCTGCTGTGTATGTGAGTGTCATTTGGCCTTCTTTATGTTGCTCTGTAGGTATTGGGCCTTGGGAAACTGCTGCAAAAATTATACACTGGCTACTGCAATTACTGTAAGTAATAAACTGTCTCTTGTCTCTGACCCAGGAGTCTCATGTCTTCTACACGCAACCATGAAAATGGAGCAGGCTACCTTGTTACCTTGCAAATAACAAAATTTCAGGCTCTTCACAGTTATTGACAGATGCAAGGGAGGCCTGAACCTCAAGAAATAAGGGGCAGCAGCAAAGATGACTGAGCCTGAAGTCAGGAACCTAATCTGAGTCAGGGCTGGTCCTAGGGGAGGGGCAGAGATGAGCCTGTGGTGTGGGGTTAGGGGGCTACACTGGGAGGAAGTAGGGAAGAAGAGACCATGATCAAAATACCCTTATAGGCAGCAGTGCCAATACAGATCATTAGCTTTAAAGGAGATACCTGGGACCTAATAGGCTGTCTAGACCCATTTGTGCTGCTATAACAGAATACCAGACAGGATAATTTATAAAAAACAGATATTTATTTTTTCATACTTCTTGAGGCTTGGAAGTCCAAGAAGGCTCCAAAAAGTGTGGTTGTCTGGTGAGGGAAGTAGGTTCCAACTGCAGAATTGGGGTTCACAGGTAGGACACTAGCTTTGAGAGTATTAACTAGGGCAAGGGCAACCCCAGAGAGCCTGGAGGGGAAGAATTCTGGAGGGGAAGAATGCTGTGTCCTCACGTAGCAGGAGAGCCAGAAGGGACAAGCTCCTTCGGTCAAGCCCTTTTATAAAGGCATCTAATCCCACCCACGAGGGAGAAACCCTTAAGGCCTAATCACCTTTTAATGGCCCCACCTCTTAAAACGCTCACATTGGGAACACCTGAATTTTGGAGGGGACACATTAAAATCATAGCATAGGCCACTTAGCCCCTTGATTCTGAACCCTGCCTACACATTTGAATGATCTGAAGAGCTTTAAAAAACATACCACTACCTCCAGGGATTCTGATATCACTGGTGACAGAATGGGGTTAGTTATCAGCTCCTCAGGCATCCTGAAATTCAGCCAGATTAGAGAATCACTGATCTATCCCAGCTGTCTCCTGTTCCCTATGAGGACCCGGGCTCAGAGAGTTGAAGTGACTTGATAAAAGTTCTCTTTACATTTAAGAGGCTACTTTCCTGGGTGCCCATGCTCTGTGCCTGGCTCAAGCCCTAGGAGCTATGGGTGTAGCCTTGTGTGGCTCAGGACCTAGACTTGGCTCTGGCCAGAGCTCACCTGGAACTTAACCAAGGGAGTCCTTCTCTCCTGAGTGCATCAACATAGGGACCAGAGGGAAGGCTTTTGCTTTATTTTGGAAGTAGGAGTGTGGGTTGCTAAGCAACCAGGCATTCTTAGGCACCCAGGATGCTCTGTGTTGATGCTCTCCGCATGTTATAGTTCCTGGGTGGTTTCTGGAGACCCTCTAGAGTTCTCAGGGACAGCAGATGGGACTCTGTGTGTGGGGTGCATGTTGTCCCCCAACTTTGTCTTGTCTTCACGGATGTTATAATTCCAAGATTCTTGTGCCTCACAAGATTCGGCACAAACAGAGCCAGGACTTTGTTTCTTCTCACCTGTTCTCCAGAAGGCCCTTATCTTGAAGTGAGAGGACGTTTTTATAGCCTGAAGGCACCTTAAATTTTTTTATTTGAAAATAATTTCAAACTTACAGAAAATTTACAAGAATAAGAACAATACAAAGTATACTCAGATTCTTCTCTCTTTAATGTTTAACCCATTTACTTTTTGTCATCTCTCTTTGTGCCTTTGTCATCTCTCTTTGTGTGTGTATTTTTTCTTGACCACATGAAAATAAGTTGGATACACCATGACCCTTTACTCTGAAATATTTCAGTGTATATTTCTCTGGAAATTGGGCTATTATTTTTCTTTTATAGCTGTAGTCCCCAAACCCTGGGCCATGGACCAGTACCGGTCAGTGGACCTGTTAGAAATTGGTCTGCACAGCAGGAGGTGAGCATCCGGCAAGCAAGCAAAACTTCATCTGTATTTACAGCCGCTCCCATCCCTCGCATCACTGCCTGAGCTCTGCCTCCCACCTCACATCCCCCTACCCTAGTCCATGGAAAAATTGTCTTCCATGAAACCACTCCCTGGTGCCACAAAGGTTGGGGACTGCTGTCTTATGGAAACATAGTTATCATACTTATCATAGTTATCATACAGCATAGTTATCAACTTCAGTAAGTTTACTATTAATACAGTATCTTTATCTAATCCCTTTTTCGTATTTCAATTTTATCAATGAACCCTACAAAGACCTTTGGAATTTTTTTTCCCCTCCAATGTAGGATCCAGTCTAGGATAATGTATTACATTTCATCGTCTTGTCTCTCTAGTCTCTTTTAATCTGAAACATTCCTGCTTCCTTTCAAGTTGGGTTCATCTCATGCTTCCTCATCATGTATCACTGTGTCTATATCAGGGTATCGTATCTGTAGTCGCACAATGGCAATTTTCCCACTACTAATTTTGACCAACTGGTCAAGGTGTTGTTCAGTTTCCCCGCTGTGTAGTTACTATTTTGTTCTTTGTAACTAATAAGCGATTTAAGACCATACGAGCATCAAAATTTCCCCCTAGATAGAGCATCCTATTGATAATTCTTGCCTGAAACAATCTTTACTCTGACAGTTTCATAACGATGATTTCCCAAATCCAACATTTTGAGGGTCCCTTTTTATAGATTATCAAAGAGGTGTCCTGGCAAGATTCATTTTTGATCTTGGGAGGCAATTCAAGGCTGCTGAAAGGAACCCCAGTTTCCCTGTTTCCAGGAAGGTGATGCACATACTGCCTGCCCTGAAGTTTCACTCCCCTCCATGCATGCTCCACCTTCTTGATTTGGGTTTTCAATCTGTTAGGACCTGTGTTTCAATCTTCCTCTTACATAGGGTTGCTAACAGTCATTTCATTTTATAATCAGTGGCATTAGCAAAGTGCTTCTGATTTTGGGGGACAATTTATTCATTTGTTTCTTCAGATAGTTAGGGATGATTTGAGAGTCTGTAATTCCTATGCACTGTACTAGGTGCTGGGGGAAGTGGAGGAAAAAACAGGAGTGGAGCCTGTTATCCAGAGGCTTAAAGTCTAGTGGGCAGGACAGACCCTCTCCAGGTCATTAAGAGTATAGTACATTTTCAGAGGGGTGTGTATGGATTGCCTTCTGTGCATGCATCAGCAGGAGCTAACTTAATCTGGGGGCAGGGGAAGCCCCTCCTGAGGAAATGAAATTAAGGATACGTTGGAATCATCTTGGCAGACAGCGGGTGAGGTGGGAGCAGCAGGTTCAAGCTCTCAGAAGCGACAGTGCATAGTGTGTACCCCCATCTAGATGGTGGTGTGGGGGCCAGGGCAGGGGTGGCTTGTGGGGAGACTGGGAAATGGGCCAGATCTAAATTGAGCCATGATAAGGGCTTTACTTTTCATCCTAGGAGCCAAGGGAAGCCTCTGAAGGGCAGTAAAGAGAAGAGTGATGCAATTCTGTTTGTAAATTAAAAGGTCACTCTAGCTGCCCTGTGGGAAATAGATCTGAGAGGGTAGGAAAAGGAGGAGGCCGGGTTGGGTGTTGGGAAATCAGTTAGGAGGCTGCAGGAGGGTCCAGGTAGGAGGTGACGGTGGCCTGCCCAGCTTGCCTAGCAGCCCAGCCCATGGGATGGAGGAAAGGTTTTTAATTCCTCTGACTTCCCATCACTCAGTAACGACCCTGGATGCTATAGGAAGCTTAAATTTCTAAGAGCCATAGCTGCTCTGTTCCCATACAGGACAGCTCCCCATTGGAGCAAGCAAGCTCTCAGCCTAGCTGGGAAACACACATAGAGTTTCTAAGAAGGAATTTTACTCTTATTTACAAAAGGTAGCCAAGCATGGACCGTGATCTCCCTTGTAGTTAATGAATTGGGTTTGCTGGGCAATATCTCAACTTGCTCTTTTCTATTTTTACAAAAGCAGATGATCCTGTTACTAAGTAATCCATGGTTTAATTTGATTTGCGTAACCGTTTGTACTTCAGAAGTGTTACGGACATGGCCAATTTTTGGCTCCCAGACAATACAGAATTACAGTGGAAGATTCTCCCCCAACCCAGCATTCTTTGCTCTCACTGCAGTTTTTATGGCACATGATACTTTCCCATTAACTTTTATTAGATCCATAATTTTTTTTATTAGCGTTGAGTAATAACTGTTTTCAGTGGCCTCACTCTTCCGAGGAGTCCTCGATTAGTAGTCCATGATAACAGTCGCTAAATTGAAGTTTCTTCTGCCAGCATTTCACCCGCAGTAAATCCAACCATTCCACCTCATCTTGCTTAAAAAACCATGAAATTCCCAGACATTATCAGAAAAATGACCACAGTCAAAATGCTCTAAATGGAGATGGAAATTAAGCTCTGGCCTATTTGAATCGAAATGTTTCATAGTTACAGGCTGGGAGTGGGATCTTTCAGCCCAAGTGAACACTGTCCTCTGTGTAGGATTTCTCCTATCAGAGAGGTTGTTGGTTAATCCACAGTTCCAGACTGGGACTGTGTCTGATGGACAAAAAGGGACTTTTTAATATTAATGGTAGCAAGACTCGTTTGCACAGAGATGAGTGGGGTCTGGGGCCAGCTGCTCTCGGGGAAGTGCTGTCCAATTCAAACATCTGTGTTGTGTTTCCAGGGAAATTTCTCTTATCTACCAAGACATGGCTGCAGTGTACCTAGTATCAGTTCAGTTCAATTCAATTCACTTTGATAATGGATTCTTTTTTTTTTTGAGACAGAGTCTCACTTTGTTGCCCAGGCTAGAGTGAGTGCCGTGGCGTCAGCCTAGCTCACAGCAACCTCAAACTCCTGGGCTCAAGCAATCCTTCTGCCTCAGCCTCCCGAGTAGCTGGGACTACAGGCATGTGCCACTATGCCCGGCTAATTTTTTCTATATATATTAGTTGGGCAATTAATTTCTTTCTATTTATAGTAGAGATGGGGTCTCGCTCTTGCTCAGGCTGGTTTTGAACTCCTGACCTTGAGCAATCCGCCCGCCTCGGCCTCCCAGAGTGCCAGGATTACAGGCGTGAGCCACCGCGCCCGGCCATAACGGATTCTTGATAGTTCTCAAGTTGTGGCCAGCCAGGATGCTTGCATGCATTTGGGTCGGTCAAACTGAAAGTGACAGAAAACCCTAAATTTCTCTCATGGAAAAGAAGTGCAGAGATTGGGAGTCCAGGATTCATTGGGCAGGTCAGAAAATGATCAGAAACTCAGGCTGACATCTTGCTCTTGTGACATCTTTTTCGGCCTGTGGCTTTCAATTCGTGATTCAATACATCTCGTGAGAACCAGCTATTGTATCTGTGTTCTAGCAGAAGAAAGGAAGGAGAGTCCTTCCTTTAAGGGCTCTTTCAGGTGGTGGCACTCAATCCTTCCACGTCAATCCCATTGGCCAGAACTGACTCACATGGTCACACCTACGTGCAAAGGAGGCTACAAAATATTATTATACCAGGCACCACATGCTGAGCTACAATTTGGGTACTGTGTTATGAAGAAAGAATACAGAATGCGTATTGGGGGATATCTCATAGGCTCTAACAAGAGATATGGAAGCTATGTTCTCTAGATTTTTTTTTAAAGGGCTGCCCATTTGTTTTGAGTACTCAGAAAACAAATTTTAAAAACAGATGTTTCCTATTCTTGGAAAAATAAAGTTCACATTTCAAAATCCAAAGACTAGGGACTAAGAGGAGGGAATGCTTTTCATATATACATAGCTGGTGACTTTTGAAAAATACTGGGGTACTCAGCAGCTTCAAACAACCATCAGTCCATCCATCCATCCATCCATCCATCCATCCATCCATCCATCCATCCTGTCAACACATTTATTGAGTCTCTGCTATATGCCAGACACTGTGCTCATGGCTAAGGAAATGGAGATGATGAATATGTTAGTCCTCACACTCAAGGTACTTATGATCTAGTGGAGGAAAATATTAGGCAAGTTAATAATTTCAGGTGATTAATGCTATAATAGAGATAACTATTCATTTATTTATTCAACAAATGGTTATTGAATACCTACTATGTACTAGGTGCTCTTCTAGACACTGAGGATACAAAAATGAAAAAAAAAATAAAAGTTTTTCTCTACCAGAAAAACTAAAATGCAGGGTGATAAAGGGATCTCATGGAAGCATGGCTGGGTACAATGGTGACATGGGGAGGTACACTTAAGTCTGTCAGGGTGAGTCAGTAAATGCTTCCTAGAGGAGGTAACTCTTGAACTAAAACATGAAGGACTAGAGCTTTTCTGGTACAATCTTGGGCCTCCTCCTTCTGCCCATTATGCATTGATGGAATGAACCTTCTTTGCTTTTATGCTCATATGTAATTCAATATGTCATGGGTGGGTGGTATTTGCCAACAATCTATACTGAAGACTTTTGAATAATTTTCTATGCTACCCAGTCAGGTACACAAAGGTATTTACTGGGTAAGATTTCTTGTATGAGTGGGTAATGGGAGATATTTACAATTTTCCTTGGTTTGAAGCAGAATTGTGATGATAATATTTTAAACCTGTGTCAGGTCTGGAGGGCCTGACAAATGCATTTCCACCATGGCAAGAACTGGAAACCAAAAGTGATTGTGTCTTGGATAAAATGAAGAGTCTGACAAAATATGTCCTATCAGTGGAATGAAATTAGATATCTGTCAAAATGCATTTGTCCTCTAAATAACCATTCATATGTTTTATGTTTTGGTATAAATAGACATTCTTCAGTTTATCACAATAGCACTGTCAGAGACCCAGCAATTTGAAACAGAATTTTAAAGATCCTTCTAGACCAATAACCTAAGAAGAGTTTGGGGGAGGGGTGTTTTTTGTTTATTTCTCATTTCTTCTCTTTTCTTCTTTTGATTTCTTTTAGCTCCCTTCGGAGCCCACAGTTTATTACTAAAGAGAAGTGAAACATCTATTTAAAATCAATCCAATAATACTATGTTCCAAAGCATTAATTCCTGCCAGCAATCAGCTCCTTGCAGAGAGTGTTGTTTGCTTCTTTAGTCTCCGCTTTTCAGGTGTGGCCTGTTAGGGGACTGTTGGGTTTGTGACCACTGGGTGCCTGAAATGTGGGCTCCCCCTGGCCCTGCAGCTGCCCTGCTACTGAAGAATGTGGCCTTGGGTCAGGCCAAAGAAGGAGAGTGGGCAGGGAGGTTTGCTGGGAGCTCTCCCCCTCTCGTCTGGGCCACTGTCCTTTCTAATTTGTCTGGACAGTGGGGTATAGGCACCAAAGGTAGTTCTGAAGAGGCAATCCAGAGGGTGGGTGAGTCTGCAAGCCTCAGCAGTGGGCATTCCAGTCTGATCCTGGGCAGGGAACTGGCTGCTACAAAAGGTAGCTAAGGATGGACCATTAAAATCTCCCTTGTAGTTAATGAATTATTATCTTGTCAAACATTCTGTCCAATGAAGAAAATTCATATGATAACTTTGCAGACAAAAGCACATTTCGACCAAAACCCTAAACTATGTATTTTAATAAACCTTAGAATTACTACTGTGATTATTAGCATTAGTATTTGCCAAGGACATAAATTTATTATTAAAAATATGGCTTAGGAGTCAAGCCAACCAGAGCTCCCCTGGAGGAAGGAAGAACAAAGTAGAATTTAAATGAGGTTTTCACTATGGGCACATTGCAGTCCCTGCAGCAGGGTAGGTCACCAGCCTGCTTTCTTGGGTCCCTTCTCCTCTCAGGGGCAAAACTCCCTAAGCCTCTGTCACTTGGTCTTCTAGAGCACTGTCCTCATGCCCCTATGGAGGCAGGGTGGGAGGATGGAAAGTAAGCCATGAAAGGGGGACTGTAAGGATAACAAGGTCTAGAATCTGTGGGAGCTCAGGCTCTAGAGCTAGGTCCCCAGGGGAGAAGAAGAAAGAAGAATGGTACAGAGAAGAAATAGATGCAAAAAACATAACTTTTGTTGTCTACACAGGACGCTCTGGATCTTGGCTTCAAATTCTTCATTCCGTCTGCACGTTCCGTGTTTACCTGCCCCCATCCCAGCACACCTGGTCATATTGGTCACAGCAAAGTTCCCAGCAGGACAGATCTCAGTGCTTCAGACTCCATCAGCCCACTGGGAAAAATTCATTCCTATTTTTAGGGTCCCAAACATACGAAATTCCTTTGTAATATTCACAGCACTTCTCCCTTAGCACTCACTCGTTATGGCACTCACTTATTTTTTTAGGTATTTGGATTTTCCACATGAAAAAAATTATTGAAGTAGTTGGTGTTTTAATCTTTACCACCCAAGCCCCTATTGTGGTGTTTTAATCCTACCATTTCCAATGTTTTGATCTTACTATTTTGACTGTGCAGTTAGGGCACTTCATTAGGTGTCAAACAATGCATTTTGACACCATCAATCAAATTGAGAGCTGTTGATATCACGGTGTGATCAGCAGTTTGTTCTTGGCTTTTTCAGTGGCTTGCAGAAGTAATATACATCTTTTCAAGGGTTCAGAAAGACTCCAAAGACTTGGGGCTTCAAAATCTAACAGACCACTCTTGGACCATGGAGCAAGCCTGGAGCATCTGAGAAAGAATGTTTATGATTTTCTCATGGATTAACTGTAAAACACTTTAGCCAGATTAGAATGAATATCTGTGATTGAAATACTCAACATGAAATAAAAATGACAGCAACTAGAACCACACATGGTTTATTGGTAGGGATCTACAAGATACAGTTTAGATATGCAAAATTGGATTCAAGAAAATTGGGGCTGTTCAAAATGATGGCAAAGGGAAACTTCCTTATGGCAGAAAAAATAACTGTCACTATTTGATATGGACAAAACTTGATCAGTGAATCAAGTATTTGTTTAAAAAGTTATATGGAACATAATTCTGATAAAAATGAATTTGGTTAAAAGGAAATAGGTACAGAAGAAAGGAAATGGATTAATAGTGGCAGTATAGAAAACTGAACATTTAAATCAACTCAGTGGAGTTCATAACTGAAAAAACTTGTTCCCTGGAAGTCTATCAACGTTGATATATTGTGAGTAAAGTGTATGCATTTATAAACATGGAGAAAAATGTCTTCAGAGTAAAACTGCAGGTCAAAGGGTAGGGTAAAAACTGTGAAGTCCAAAAGTTCTGTATTTTCCCTGGCATGCACTCAACAGAAGTATAAGTAAGCACTTTCTTTATTACAAAAAGCATCATTTTTTAAAAAAGGTTTTTCCCTCCTCCCTCCTTCTTCCTTCCTCCTTCCTTCTTCCTTCTTCCTTCCTTTTCCTTCCTTCTCTTCCTTCTCTTCCTCTCCCTTCTTCCTTCCTTCCTTTCCTTTGAATAGGAAATACAAATAGTACAGAGATATGTGGGCGAAGTCCATCTCCTTCCCACTTCTGATCCCTCAGTCCCTTAAGGCCATTTACCATTTGTTGTGTTTCTTTCCAAAGATAGTCAACACCAATGTTTTCCAAACTGTTTTTTGTCTATATTCCAGAGTAAGATATACAGTTTCAATCTGTCTTAGTCTGTTTTTTGTTGCTATAAGAGAATACCACAGACTAGATAATTTATAAAGGAAAGAAATGTATCTGGCTCACAGTTCTCGAGGCTGGAAAGTCCAAGATCGAGTGGCTGCATCTGGTGAGGGCTTTCCCACCGTGCCATCCAATGTTGGAAAGCAGAAAGTGGAAGAGCAAGAGAGTGTGACAGCAGAGGAACAAGAGGGGGCCCAACTCACTTTTATAATAAGCCCACTCTTGAGATAACTAACATTAATTCATTCATGAAGGCAGAGCCCCCATGTCCTAATCAACTCTTAAATGTCCCATCTCTCAATACTGTTTCATTAGGGATTAAGTTTCCAATACAGGAACTTTGGAGGACACATTCAAACCATAGCACCACTACAACCCACTGTGCAATTATATAACTACATCAAAAATTGCATAAAACCATATTCACCTTTACTATATATAATAAGGAAAAACATAAATTAACATCAAATGGCTTAATCAATATTTAAATAAGACACATAAAAATCACAAAGTAAAAAATGCAGACATTAAATGTTGGTTGCAATCCACTAAATTGATTTTGCAACCTACCAGTGGATTGCCATCTAACTTGAAAAACACTGATCTATTGCATATACAAATGTGGATTTATATACTTTTTTTTTTTTTTACAGATGGCCATTAGAATTTATTAAACAACATTTCCCCCAAAACTTGAAAGAAAAAAAAATCAGCCACAAAATCCTAAACCCTTCACTCAAAATCATTGTTTAAAAAAATTTCCTTCTGGGAATGGACTAGTGTGGCTATTGAGATGACATGCATTTGCTTTCAGTAGATACTCTACTTTTAAAAAAACACAGATTATAAAATATTATACACATTGTTCTGCATTTTTCCCCTCTGTATTTAACATTTTGGAGATTGTTACATATTAGTAAATATAGTTCTGCTTTATTTTCTTAATGGCTACATTATATTCATATCAGAATTTATATAATTAGTTTTCCAATTAATGTACATTCAGATTTTTTCTTTTGCTACTATAGATAACATGGCAGTAAACACCCTTGTATATACAATCTATCAGATAAATTTTTAGAAGTGGAATTTAAAATTTTGATAGATGTTGCCAAATTGCCATCTAAAGGGGTTATACTGTTTAGAACTCCCAGCAGTAGTGCACTGGAGTGCCTGTTTCCTCGTCAATGCATTATCAAATCCATTGCTTATTGCTCTATGCCAATTTAATAGGTAAAAAATAAAATCTAAGTGTGATTTTAATTTGCATTTCTTTTAGTATTAGTGAAATTGAATATTCTTTCACATGATTAAAAGTCAGTTGCATTTGTTTTCTGTAATGATGTTTTTCATTAATTTTTTTTCTATTGGGTTTTTTTGGGGACTTTGCTCAATTGATTTATTTAGAACTCTTTCATGATAAAAATAAATTCTTCGTCATATTTTCACAAATATTTTTTCTTTCTTTATTGCTTGCTTTTTGACTTGATTTATGGTATTTTTGTCATGAAGACAGTTAAATTTTATGTTGTCAGAGTTTATCCAGTTTTTTATGTTGTCTTTGTTTAGTGTTATGCTTAAAAATGTTCTTCCCATTAAATGATATAAAAAAATTTTTGTTTTTTTTTTCTGGTACTCTTATGGTTTTGGTTTTTACATTTAAATATTTTATCCATTTGAAAGTTATTTTGGCATAAAGAAATAATAAAGAGATTATTTTTTTTAGATGGTCTAGCTAGTTATCTGAAACTATATATTGAATAATTCCTCTTTTTGCCAATGCATTAAAAAGCAACCTCTACATAAATAAAATTTTTTGTATATATTTATGTCTACTTCTAGTTTTTCTATTTACTTCTATTCATTTGGCTATTAACTGTTGTGCCAGTAACAGTTAATTATGACTTTATATAATAATATCTGGTAGGGCTAATACTTACCCTATCTCTTGTTTATCAGAAATATTGTGGCCTTTCTTGCATTTTATTTTTTATATGAATTTTAGAGTCTTCCTAAGGACTCCACCCTCACTTTTACCCCTCCTTTCAATTGTTTTCTTTTGGTATTAATCATATTAAATGTATAGATTACTGCAGGAAAATGAGCATCTTTGTAAGAAATCTATCTCTCCAAGAAGAGGGACTATCTTCCTATTTATTTAAATCTTTTGTTTTCTTTTACACAGTGAAAGTTTACTTCACATAGATTTTACATATTGCTTGTTAAGTTTTTTCTAGTTACAATTCTAAATGGGATCTTTTCTTCCATGATATTTTATGGTTGGTTGTTTTTTCTAGAAAAGGTATTGATTTTTGTATATTAATTTTGTAAACTGTTATCTCAGTCTTATTGTTTGGGATATTTTTTCATTGATTCTCTTTTAGTTTTCTAGATATATAATTATAATATTGGCAAGTAATAATAATTTCCCACCTTCTGTCCAATTTTTATCTTCTATTTCTAATGGTTTCAGAGGAGCTCAAAAATTATGAGGTCTTATTTTATGAGGTGTTTTTTCAGCCTGACTTGGAAAATGGTTGGGCATTTGTGTCAGTGTTAACCGCTTGAACCCTAGTAAGAAGTGAGAGAATAAAGAAGTTATAAGAAAAGCTTCTGGTTCCAAACTGATGGGTTCAAATCCCAGGTCTACCATTTATGAGCTGTGTGACCTTGGGCAAGTTGCTTAACCTTTCTGTGTCTCAGTTTATTTAACTATACAATAATAGGATCCACCTTATAAGGCGGTTATGAGGATTAAATGAGTCAGTACACATAAAAGGTTCTTAGTATTGTTTTCGGCATATGGAAAGGTAGAAAGCATTAAAAATGTTGGTTACATTTAAATGTTTAGAGGTTAATATGTATAAAAATATCTTACAGCATATTATTGATCAGAATGTTCACAAAATAATTAGAAATAAAAATTTTATACTGCTTCTAAAATTATCCCATAAAAATTATGAATATTCTCTTAAATAAAACTTTAACAAAAAAAAAATGTTGGTTTATTGTTACTAGAGCCAATAGTCATAGACACTCCAGCAAAACCTAACTCTACAAAAATCTATACTGTATTTCTTGGATCTTTAAACCTTTAAGAACCAATCTCCAAATTCCTCAGCCTTTTTCCTTAATTAAAACTGGTTCTCTATAAAAAAATTTGGTAAGCCTGATAAATTTATTTACATTAAGGCAAACATGATTGTCAGGGCTTAAAATAGTGTCCCTTTTTTCATGGGGACTTATCTTTGACCGGAGACAGAGCCTGAAGAAATGAAGGAGCACAGAAGGACTACCTCTCCCGAAAGCCAGTTGACAACGGAGGGTTTGATGGTCACTCTTTAATTCAACAGCTATCAAGGATCAGGCACACCAAATGACATAAAGATAAGACTGCTTTTTGCTGTTGAGGAACACATAGTCCGATACATGAGATAGATGCTCATACAACTGATATTTGTTTCGTATTTCTCTCGGTTTGGCTAAACAGTGTTGAAGAACCAGCTCAACAAACCATTAGAGATCTCTTTGTACGAGGCACTAAATTGGCTGGGGACCTCGCCCTAAGGCAAGAGCTGAGGTATAAGAACATGATCCCAGGAGGAGGTGGGGAATAACTTTAAGCATCTACCCCTCAATAATCACAGCTACCATGTATTGAGTTCTTGTTATGGACTAGACACTTTAGATATGCCTACATAATCCTTTAATCCTCTCTGCAACCCTCAGAAGAATGCATTATGGGGTTCATTTGGCAAATAAGAAAACCGTAGGTGCAATCACCTGAAATCCTTGCCCAAGGCTAACCAAGCAGTAAACAGCAGAACTGGGATTTGAACCGCTGACTGTCTGTCTGCTGCCATGACCACTATACTACACTCTACTCTGCTTGTCCTCTGACTTAGCTCACATGGGCTTATGCCCAGAGTTCTTAGTGAAGGGGGATCTACTCGGGAGGGAGTAAGAACTGGAAATGATGATGTGCTCAAGTCCCTGGGACATTGATGGCTAACTCTACTTGGTAGCTCATGTTGAGTTAGTTTGCCTCGTAAAGCTATGTAAGTTTTTCACTACACAAGGGTGCCCGACTACAGGAGCTGAAATCCTGCCTGAACTGCACTTGCCAAGGGGACCTTGGTGACAGGCTGCATGTACCAGAGGAAGGGGCACTTTTTTCCAATTCCTACCATGGCCATGCATGGGCTACCTGCAGCCCTGACTGGGAGGGCAGCTCATGTGGGGGTTATGGGTATTTTCCTTATTT